AATATATTTTTTAAGGTGTGCTATATTATGGCATAAAGTGCTCAATATCTGAGATAGAGCGTATGTAAGTATAAATATAAAAAGTGAACATTGAAGTCAACACTCAGAGGTGACAGGCTGTTTCATGCTGGACGCAATCGTCAGGCCACTTGACGATTGCCTCTAACATAAAACAGCCTGTCGCCTTTGAGTGTTTACTTCAATGTTCATTATATATATATATATATATATATATATATATATATATATATATATATATATAATGTGAGTGTCTGTGACAGTTTTACTTCTTTTTGAATGAGCTGTACGTAGCCTGGTGGTTAACAGGTAAAAGGAACGGAAGGACAAGTTGGATTCAATCTACAACCGAAACAAATTTGTATTAACGTTACACTAATGCATTTGGGAAAGAAATGAACACATTTTCTCTGTCAGTTATAAGTAAAATAGTGGGACAAAGTAGCCTTGGTTGGCAACCTCTGTCTGTGTGTGTGTGTTTGTGTGTGTATGTGTGTGTATGTGCGTGTGTGTGTCTGTGTGTGTGTGTATGAATGACTAGTTCGGTAACTCCATTTTATACATTTTCACATTCAATAATACTTGTTTACAAACAAAGATTTCGCTTACCGATGGGTTCTCCTTTTCTCCGGCCCGTTTCAAAATATCTTACACCAAAATGATGAATACCTTTCGCTATATACAAGACGCTTTATGAATATGCCAGCACAAAAATAAAATACTAGATGTTATAAAATAAAGAAAGTCGAAACTAGAGTTGAATTCACACATGAAAATGAGACAAATAATACCTTAAATTACTAAACTGTTTTTTTTGTCTGTTCAGTCAATTCGAATTGATACAGGTCTATAATTAAATGTCTACTGTAAATCAATAAATAAAATAGACCTCTGAAATTTCTACTCATATCAAAACAATAAGATAAAAGCTGGAAGATTAATAGTTTTATTATTATTATTATTATTATTTAATAGTCCTTAGTTTTTGCCGAGCCTAATGGAGAGTAATACATTTAAAGTCTGATGGAGAGTAATACACTAAAAGTCTTTGAAAAGCCCTTGTTATTTCATATCTAATATCAAAAGACAAGCGTAAGTTTTTCACAAAACCAAAGAATTAAAATATAGAATATATTATAAATATAGAAATAACCGCTCGCTCGGGCACATTTGTGTTTGTTCAACATATGTGGTTTATACTGCAGACCTTACTTACAGTTTCTGGGAGAGGGCGCATTATCTAACGTGATCAAAAATTTGAACAAGACCAGCACACTCAACACGATGACTTGGGACTTCGTGCTAACACAGTTATCGACGGGTCCAAGTGCTCCGCAGTTTCCCTCACAAGGCTCGGGTCAACACGTGCTATGGTTTTCAGGCACTTTCCAAAGGTGCCTCACGCTGGCATCTTCCCCGATCCAGACCAATAACATCAGGAAGTGTCCTTCCTGAAAATTCGACCATGGTGAGATTCGAACCCGGGTTTCATGGTCAGAAAACGAACGTTCTAACCACTCGGGAACTCGCATGCATGTATACATACATACATATATACATACATTCATACATACATACACACATACATTATTACATTGTTTAAAAATTGTTATATTTATAAGGCAAGGGGTAGCTATTGTGAATATAAACACTTTATATTTAAGAATTGACATTTTATGATGAATGGGCGTTAAAAGATTCTCTGACTCTGTTCTTATGATTTCTTAAGACTTCAAACTGCCAGGTATCATGTAATATTGCTGTCTTGGTGATGATCTATCTATCTATCTAGCTGATTCCATTTATTATCTCTCTGTATATATATATATATATATATATATATATATATATATATATATATATATATATATATATATATATATATATATAATGGATATAGATCCGACAGTATGAAGAAAAATATATACGGAAAAAACAAACAAAAATCCTTATATGCAATTATGCTGTATTAATATGAATACTAGATCTGGCTTCTTTAGTATTTCCCCCTTTCTAGCGAGATTAATGCTCGACAAGCGTACATATAAATTTTAGATCAAAATAGAATTCTTTTCATTTTTCATTTTTCATTCAAAATACTCAAATTTTAGGAATACGTTTTCACAGCGTCGCCCACGTGACGACAACGTGACCATGTTTTAAACGGAGCGCTGATCTTATAAAACTTTCAGTTATCTGTTTGGATAAGTCTTGTTCTCATGTACATCGTCTTTGTCATGTTGAATTGATTATGTTAATTTTATTTTATGAATATGTCCTGAAGATGGTTTATTAGACCGAAACGTCCGACGTTGACATATTAACATTAAAACATCATAATTGCATATAAGGATTTTGTTTGTTTTTTCCTATATATTTTTTCATCATATATATATATATATATATATATATATATATATATATATATATAGTGATTTTTTTTAAATATGATCCAAAAATAATTATAATTTAAACTCTACTTCTGTATGGAGCACTGTTTTTAAAATCAAAAGAAAAATACTAAAGAACTCTGGATTATTTACCTAACGTGTTCTTTTCTATTTTCACATATCTCCACACACACACACACATTTATATATATATATATATATATATATATATATATATATATATATATATATATATATATATATATATATAAAATACATTTACTCTAAATGTTCTGTCTTCTTGATTTCTATTCTTTTTAGTGATTTCCTCTTTTAACGTTTTATTTTTCTCATTTTCTTTCACACTCAATAACCTCTTGCTTCTTAGTGGCTTTATTTGCGTATGTTATGTTTCCTGCTTTGTATCCTGTACACCCAGGTACAAACTATTGTCCTTAGGCTCTATAGGAGAATTGTCATTTAATTGATAGCACTATTCTAAGTATATGAGATGTTCCTAGTAGGGCGATCTTCTGGGCAGCATGTATGTTGATTTTACCTGGGACACTGTTCATTCCTTTTTTCACGAGGCCCAGTGCTCCGATTACTATTGATACAGTCTCAGTCTTGATTCTCCACATCCTGGTAATCTCCATCTCCACGTGGTTATCATTTTCATAGACGTGTTTCTCTCAGATGGTACTGCTATATCAATAAGCATAAACTTCATGAATTTCTTGACTTTTATGATAATATACAGTTTGTTGGCTTTTGTCTCCCTGTCACTTTGAATTGACATGTCCCAGAGGATAGTTACATCGTTATTTTGGGTGTAGGTGTCTGGTTGGTGGTCATATCATCTCTCAGTGGTTTCGATTTTGTGCTTCTTGCATATCTTCCAGTGCACATATGTCGTTACCTTGTTATGTCTGTGAATATATTCATTATTATTAATTTTATTTTCTTTGATTTCTGGCGTTTACACATTTCTTTCCGGATCCCGCCCAGGGACCTAAGGTTAGAAATGGCATCATGACACTTTCCACTGACAAAAATAAAAAATAAAATAAAAATTACATAGATAAAGCCCCTCGTAAAGTGTGGGCTGTACTTGTCAGAACAATTTTTTGTATCTCCTTGAGGCATGTACTTCTAGGAATTACTTCAATTAGTCTACTGCAATCTTTTCCAATCAGTCCTAGGGGCTCCAACTACAATAGGAATTGTTGATTTTCCCATATGCCACATTTTCGAGATTTCTATTTCATGGTCCTTGTATTTTGACAGCTTTTTGAATATCTTCAAAGATACGTTGCAGTTTATTATTATTATTATCATCATCATTCGATTTCTGCTATGGACACACTACCTACCAAGTCTGCGGAAAGACCTAAGGCAGGTCGTGGTGTGTTGTTATACTACATTTCATGTTAATTTTTTTTTTTTTTTTTTTTATCTCCGATGAAGTTGCTAGCGTTACATAGTTATTATTATTATTATTATTATTATTATTATTATTATTATTATTATTATTATTATTATTTTCACGCTAAGCCAGTGTTGGCCGCATAAAAATATATCGGAAAAAATCCAGGTTCTTCGAAGCAAATTTCCTGCTCAATATCAAGGACGCTAGTTTATTCATTTTTTTGTACGCAATAAACCCAAACTCACTTTGACGTCATTTGCGTATATGCTTTTCGCTTTCATACTTGTCTACTTTTCTATAAAACCCGCGCAAATTGCTTTGAGTCTAGCGTCAAGTAAAGTGATTTTAACCATTTGAATGGAACAACGAAAAATAAAGTTAGCAAATACAGCGAAATATGTTCATATGACAAGCTGAAAAAGAAAAAGATTAAACATCAATTGAAGGAGACATAATGTATGCTTGTCAGCAAGAGGAACTAGGAATTGGAGATGTCAAAATCAAGCAAGTGCAAACCTTTCAATTCCTTTTACAGAGGAAGGGAAATGTGACCCCGAAATCCGAAGGCATATTATATTAGCGAAAGAGTTAAGCAAAGTATTAAGAAACAGGAAGATTTCGTTAGAAACACGGGAAAGGTGTTGAACCTCTTATGTAATATCAGTGCTCTTACATGGCAGTGAAGGCTGGAACATCGTATACAAGAGACAACGGAACTGTGGTTCTACAGAAGGATACTGAGAATACTATGGGTCGAATCTTTGAGTAACAAGGAAGTTTTAAAGAATTGGATGCAAAAAGGACGCTTCTACTTAAAATAAGAAAGAGACAATTGAAATTTTAAGACTCTTAACAAGAAAAGCTAAGTTAGATAATTTTGAAACTCACGGGGTATATTGAGGGTCAGGGGGGTCAGGGGAAATGTGAGTAACTGCCAGAACACACTTATACAAATGTCAGAACAGAGAGAGGAAGAGATATTGAAAGGAGAACTCTGACAGAATATATGAAGTCGTGGAGAGCTATAATCGCCAACGTTTTGAAGGGACACAAGGTAGAAGTAGCAGTTTGTCATAAAACTGTACAAGGAGGAATAATTAGTTATTTTTTTGATTTATCAACCCTTTTTGTATTATTTAAGGCCGAGAAATATTTCATTATTCGGTGTTCGCAAGTTGTCCCCCATCCAATTACTGACCGTGATCGGCGATTCTTAACTTCAGTGATCGCACGGAAACCGGGGTTTTCAGCGTGATGTGACTGTTAGCACATACGAAGTTGAACAAAGGCTTAAGGCAAGCTTGCAAGATAGACGGGAATGTTTTCTTGCCTTGAAAATCTGTATCCGAAATCTGAGCATTTCACTGTGCTCGAACCTCTACCACTGGAATCAGTGTGATATAAACATTTATCACAAACACGTTGCACAGGGATTCACTATTTCAGTGGCGTCTTTCGAGGTACAAAGAAAACGTTTTCACGTCTGTAAGTTGGATTATCAAGAATTGTGTTGTTGATTCCCGATCCCCCTAATAAAAACATATTTGGATTTTTTTTTCTTCGCAGCTGCAGAGTTTTACTATTTACCAATGAAAATTCCTGAAGCCCAAACAAGATACCGGAAGTAATGAAACGAGATCAAGAAAGAGCAGCGAAAGATGCCACGCTTTCAAAGCTTAATAAACATTTTTACCGCCAACAAACTCTTATATCTGGACGGATTGGACTTGAGCGACAAATATGGAGGAAACAATCAAAAGAAACGGTTGATAATATTAAATTGGCTTGGCTGCTTTGGAGACTTGACATTTTTCCCCTTTTACCAATGTTATATATTTTTGCTTTTTTCCTAATTTTATATTTTTCTTTCCATTTTGATTTGTCCTTTTTCTCTCTTCTTTTCCTTTCCTGATTTCGTCTTTCTCGTTCTCCTTTTTTGATTTGACCTTCCTTTTCTTTTCTCTCCCTTTTCTTTTGTAACTCTTTCTTTTTTTTTCTGCAAACTTTCTTATTTATTTATTCACTTTTTCTTTCTTTGACTTTTACTTTTCTTCTCTTTTCTTTCTTTCTTATTTATTTTCTACTCTTTCTTTCTTTGCCTTTCCCATTTCTCATCGTTCTTTCTTTCTTTCTTTCTTTCTTTTCCCATCTTTTCTTTCTTTATCTTTTTTCTTTCTCACCTTTTCATTCTTTCTTTCTTTTGCTATCTTTTCTTTATCTTTTTCTTCTTTCTTTCTTTATCTTTTTTCTTTCCCCACCTTTTCTTTCTTTCTGTCTTTTGCCATCTTTTTTTATCTTTTCTTTTCTTTCTTTCTTTCTTTCTTTCTTTCTTTTTCTTTCCCATCTTTTCTTTCTGTATCTTTTTTCTTTCCCCATCTTTTCTTCCTTTCTGTCTTTTGCCATATTTTCTTTGTTTGTTTGTTTGTTTGTTTGTTTGTTTGTTTCTTTCTTTCTTTTCCCATCTTTTCTTTCTTTATGTTTTTTCTTTACCACCTTTTCATTCTTTCTTTCTTTTGCTATCTTTTCTTTATCTTTTTCTTCTTTCTTTCTGTCTTTCTTTCTTTTCCCATCTTTTCTTTCTTTATCTTTTTTCATTCCCCACCTTTTCTTTCTTACTGTCTTTTGCCATCTTTTCTTTCTTTCTTTCTTTCTTTCTTTCTTTCTTTCTTTCTTTCTTTCTTAATCATCTGTTAAACGGATGCATCAACAGAATTACTAACATGACTAAAAGGAATATTAGACTATTTGCATTTTACAGCAGAAACAACTCACCAATAAATTTGCCAGACTCAATTTGATTTTTTTTTATTATAAACTCTCATGGATTCACATTCGTGTGTTCGTTCGGCTGAGATATTTGGTTGACTCAATCAAAGCAGACAAGTCATGCGTCAACAAAGAAAATAAAACAGGACAGGCTTCCCAACTTGAGCCTTACAATATAAGCGTATATAATTACATGTATAGATGATAACTTGGGTTATTGGAGCACACACTTGGGAAATATGCCGACATTGATGGAGACATTTTATTTCATAATGGTATATTACCTCTAGAATCAATAAATTTCAATTAATAAAGATAAGCGCTCTCTCTGTTTTATTTATGAACTAGAAGGAACAGAAGATGTCCAAATGAAACGCAAAACTCTTTTACTACAAGCAACGTACACATTCGTCTATAAGTCGCGTTTTAATTATAAAAAAAGAAGAAAAGACGAAGAAATGAGGGGTTGACATGATAGTTAATTTTTTTTGGTATGGTTGAAATCTGTGTACGATGGTCAGGATTAGAAGTAACTCTTAGATTAAATTATCAAAGAACATATTGACACGTTTGAAAAATCAAGTAAAAATAGTTTACATTTTTAAGCTGATACAGCATTTCCAATTGGGATCTTTGAATCATGCTAGGTAAATCGAACAAGAAATTATCCACGTCTTTATTGCGAGTACAAGAAGTACTAGAATATTATGTAATGTCTAATCTCTCCAGATGTTGATGCTGTGTACCTCGTGGGATTACAGAAACGTTGGATAATAGGAGTTCCTTCGACAAAATCGAATACAGTGAAGTATTCTTCTATGTGTCGTTTCCCTCAGATCGTTGGCGATCATGGCTCTCCACAATTTTCTGTCCTATATACTTCTTTGTACTTTTTGTCTTTTTGAGTGGATTGGTAAATAGGATTGTATCTATTTGCATATATTAAGTAGAGGAGATATAAAAGGCATAGTAGACTAAGAGACAGCCAAGGATTTGACTACTAAGGACGTGTCGGAGAACAACACAATACAACAATATGGCGTCACCTATACGATGTTTAAGTCACTTGGAGGAACGACAATTTTTGCTGAAACTAGGATCCAGTGTTTTACAGCGCAGGCTGGGGCTAAAAAAATCGGGAGACAGCCAAGTAGGAGGGGAAGAAGATTTAATAAAACTAAGATCTCCATAAGAACAGGGCATTAAACTCAAGTTGGAGTGGAGGAGAGAAGTTGTAAAATAAAATCGAGAACAACCAAAATTTGCATGTGTTAATTAGGAGAGATATAAAGTATATAGTAAAGTAGAAATATAATAGAAAGTAGTAGGCAGTAGAAATATAGTAGGCTAATATACAACTTATATATCTCCTAAACCCTGTTCTACCATTTATTTATACACTCATTAGGTAGGTTATACACTGTTTCTCCCTGTTTCTCTTCAATATATACCATGTGAAATTTTCCAAAGCCCCTTTCTTCGTTATATATCCCAGAGATTTCAGCTGTCTCTTTCTAATAAGTATAAAGCCTTTTTACTTTATGCAATTGGATCGAGCAGCAATTGATTGAAAATGCAGGGAATTATTTAATCGGAATGGCATTATCTTTCATCAGCACCAGACTTCACCTATCTTTGTAGATCTTCTTTGTTCTTAAAGCATTTCACCCCAAGCAAGGCGGGAATGCCACTAGTATGCAGGAGGTTTACAGAGATTGAAAGTGAATAGGTATAATTGACGAAAGGATAAAAGATGAACGGAATTCAAGAAGATAAAATGGCGATTGATGTTGTATTTAAATTTTTGAAGATTATAGTTACCAGGAAAGTAAGTAAACAGAAGGAATCTGTCTATATTTCTGAGATGAGGTATTATGTACATTATTTACATTATTCGGACTGTTGTTCTCATCTTTCTTGCCATATTTATTACAAGTTTTCGGGCGCTGTACGCTCCGGCCTTCTTCAGGTTGTTGGAATGTCGAACTGAACTCTTTATTTCGCTCACTAGGACACATGACACAGCGGATAAAGTCGTTAGTTGGATCCAGTGACAGGACCCAAAGAGTGTGAGTTCAATACCCGGTTAAGGCAGTGGAGAATTTTCAGAGAGAAATTAACAGGAGATAACTATTAACTGACATCCATTAAACATGACACGTGGAACTAGAACAGTCTACTCCAGTGAGCGAAATAAAGGGTTCAGTTCGACATTTTAACCACCTGAAGAAGGCCGGAGCGTACAATGGCCGAAACGTTGTAATAAATATGGCGACAAAGATGAGGATAATAGTCCGAATAATGTAAATAATGTAAACAGAAAGAAGTTTCACAGATGGGAAGTGCGAGAAAAGAAACTGCTGGAACAGAAGTGGGGGTTGAATTTAATTATTTGAACAGTAAAAGAGTTTGATCTAGATGCCAAAAACAGAAGGAAGCCACATCATGTCAGTGAGAAACTGACTGGAATCGAAATTCCTGCTTAGGGTCGATTACATTAAAAAAATTTTCATGAATCTCAAGATGTGCAGCAGGAGCACCAGACCAGCTGCAGCAAAAGTATTCATGACTTGACAGATATTGATGCAGCTTAGCTGGGATATCTTATTATTTATAATTTCGCCATGCTAATCTGACCTTTGCACGTTTAGATTTCCATCAAGATTATCTTAAGAGGTAGAAAGTCAGGTCTCTAGAAGTCTGGAAGTCTGTAGAAATAACTTACAGTTGTTTATCACCCAGAACGATGCCAAGTTTTAGGAGGATAGAATCATGAAACTGCTTCAATGATGACAAAAGGCAGCAGATCAGAATCGCACATTTAAGGGTTATATAATTGTTATACTAGAACATTACCTATTCTATTGTAATAGACTCTCCCACACATAATAAGTAGTAGTAGTAGTAGTAGTAGTAGCGGTCGCCAGTGGGGCTCAGGGGAGTTGAGTGAGTCAGTTGATGTCGGACATTGAAGTATCAACCTTGTAACAGAAAGAATTTATTGGTAAATCCTATAATTGAAATTCTGTTATCCACTCCGTACCAAGTAAGTTCGTGGTATTTTTTATGACAAATAGTTTAGCTTTTCGCGTTTTTTTATTTAACGTGACGTTTGTAACAAATTCTTCAATAAAATGTATTTTTTCTCCCATCGACTGACTCACTCAACTCCACTGAGCCCAACTGGCGACCGCTACTACTACTACTAGTATGTGTGGGAGAGTCTATTACAATAAAATAGGTACTGTTCTAGTATAACAATAATGAAATATATAGCAGTTATTTAATACGTTATTTTTATAGATACAATTCATTTAAGTAAATACTCTGTTTTTAATTAATGTATTAATTACATTTACCGACATGAATATATGCGTTCTCTGACAGGAATCAAACCTGTATTCCTATAACGAAACCGTTATTTGATCTGACGTGCTATACTATTTAGCTACAAAGAAGCGTCCGGTTAACAAAGTCCTAATTTCTGTTTATAAACA